CATTGTGTTGCTGCTGCAGCTGCTGATAGAAACCGCCAGCTTCTCAGCACAGCTGCACTGGATGATCTACGGGGCCGTCTATAACAAACCCTAAACCCTAAGTTAGGGTTTACATGAAACCCAAACCCTAAACCCTAAACCCTTTTTTTAGGGTTTAGAGATGCTTAGTAAACATTAACAAAACCCTTCATCAGGGTTTTGCTCTATCGCAATCCCTAAATTAGGGTTTAGGTTAATCGTAAACCCTAAACCCTAATTAGGGTTTAGGCAGCACCCTGATTTTCGGTGTAGGTGTAAACCCTAAATTAGGGTTTAGGTCCCTAAGCTAGGGTTTAGAACCCTCTCAAACCCTTATTTGGGGTTTAGGCATATTATAAACCCTAAACGAGGGTTTAGATGCCTCGCAAACCCTTTATTAGGGTTTAGGCGCCCACTAAACCCTAAACTAGGGTTTAGTTGCGTATTGTGTTTAGGTGTATTTACAACGCTATATTATGATTTAGTCTTGTTAGACATCAAACCCTCAATTAGGGTTTACTCTCGAGGGTTTAGGGTTTAGGGTTTAGGGTTNTAGTCTTGTTAGACATCAAACCCTCAATTAGGGTTTACTCTCGAGGGTTTAGGGTTTAGGGTTTAGGGTTTAGGGTTACAAGGGTTTAGGGTTAAGCACCGAACCCTCAATTAGGGTTTACCGTTTAGGGTTTAGGGTTACAAACCCTCAACTAGGGTTTAGGGTTTAAGTGAACATCAAACCCTCAATTAGGGTTTACTGTCTAGGGTTTAGGGTTTAGGGTTTAGGGATACAAACCCTCAATTAGGGTTTAGGGTTTACACCGACGCCAAACCCTGATTAGGGGTTCAGTATAGAGATAAACCCTAATTTAGGGTTTAGGAAACCCTAAACACTAAATTAGGGTTTAGGGTGGATCTCTTGCAGCTTGAATTAGGGTTTAGCTAAACCCTCGAGGGTTTAGGGTTTAGGGTTTACGCGTCTAAACCCTAAACCCTAGCAACAGCAGCAGCTAGCGCTCGGAATGCAGCAGCAGCAGCAGCAGAAGCAGCAGCAACTGCAGCAGCAGCAACAACTGCAGCAGCAAAAAAAACAGCGGCAGCATCAACAGCAGCCTCAGCAGAATTTCGTTGCTAGGGTTTCTCTAAACCCTAAACCCTAAAGACACAGCTAATTAGGGTTTAGGGTTTAGGGTTTAGGGTTTACGTCTAGAGGAGTATGAGTTTGTTGTTTAGGATTAGCATCAATGTGTTATTTTCTAGGGTTTAAAATATTAACAAAAATGTCTAGGGTTTAGGGTTTAGG